TATACAAAGGGAATGTCCTACAAATGTCTTGGCTCCAAGTGATTGTGAGCAGCCTGCACTTGTAACAGCAGGAAAATTACTGAGTAGAGAGTGAGGCAATTAAAAGCTGTGCTGGGTCTGGCACATTCCTGAGACACAGAGGGCAACTGAACAAATTTAATAATGCTGCACTCTACATTTGTCAACACATTTGTCAAAAATATCCACTCACAGAAGTTATTTCTGTCCAACATTAGTCAGTCCAAAGGCACACAGTTATTATCAGATTTTTTACACATAAAATCATTGTATAGACATTTGGCCAGTTATGATCATCATGTAGTAGTTTCTCAGAAGATAGAGTGATGTTTATCCAGAAATTGTATTTATCTATGGAGATATCTAGCAGGTAAAGAGAGAACAGAGTGTTCTGCTAACATTTGTAAAAAATGATCAATGGTCAGAGACCAAATCTTACAAATTTGAGTTGTGTTTGACAAGCGTTGTAATGTGATGGAAGGAAAACATTAAAGGGTAATTTGAAAAGTGAGGGTTATAATTAAACATGCCCTCTCTTGACAATAAAAAACGACACTGCCCACAGGTACCTCCAGTCTTTCTGCCACATCATTGTCTGTCTATAAAAAATATAAACAAACCATCTTTTGTCTTATTTAAAAAAAAAAAAATTAAATTGTGAAAGCCAAGCAAAAACAAAATTTTGAAACAGGATTTGTATTAAGGATGCAATTTTTCCAGGCAGAAATAGATGCAATGTATGGTGATGTACTGATGACACTGAGCACCATTACTATTGATGCCAGGGTGGAAATGGTGTCCAAGCAACAAAGCATTTGTGGAATAGACACATGAAATTGGACACATGTTTATATTTTTCACTAGAAAATAACAAAACAGAACCAGTATAAGAGGTACTAAACCCCTCAACTAAGAGAGATCAGAGGAAGCACATCTGCCCCATTAGAAGCTGATGCCAGAGGGATTTGGGGCTGGCTAACAGCTCCAGGGATGAAACACCCGCTGCAATCCATGACTCCAAGGGCTGCTGTCACTTGGGGAGGGCTGAGCTCTCATGTGCAGTGCAGGGAGATGGAAACTGCAGCTGGGCTGTCATAACAAGGTTAACCCACAGCCGGGGAAGTTGTCAATCTAAATGGAGACATATTGTGGAGGGACCAGGCTCGGTTTCCCCAGCCTCCCCCAGGGAGGGATGCCACAGGAGCTGAGTCACTCCTGCCCAAGGAGGACTTAGGGAGACAATTGCCTTCTTGGCTGAGCCGAGTGAAGGAGCTCATGTCCATTTGGGCTGATAAAATTGCAACTAATGGGTTTATCCTTTTGCAGCAGCAGCGCTGCTGAAATTTCTGAGGATAGCAACAGATTATCGCAAGAGGATTATGCTTGTTAATTGATATTTCTGGTACATTTGACTGGAAAATGAAGGCATCAGGATGTAGATGCCGAGCTGTCTCTGTAAAGAGATGGTTGAAACTGGGGCTTTTGCTGTGGCACAGCTGCTCGTGGGTGAGAAGTTTCTCAGCCATGTGTAAAACAAAGTACTTGGGGGTGAAGAACATCAAAACAGCCAAAGTTCCTTAGGACCCTGAGGACTGTGAAGGGGTTTGGTAGCCCCCATCTGTCTCCTACCCCTTCCTCCACACCTCCAGTCCTGCTGGTAACATCCAAGTGCAAGTAAAGGTAATAAACATCCCTCCCTCTCCCTCTCTCTCTCTCTCTGATATTTGCCTTAGCAGCTTTCATCCAAAATGAATAATATACCTTTGCTGATGTTTCTTTGGAAATTATGTAGCTTCAAGAGATCACATAGGAAATCAGACCAGCTTTAACTTGTAATGAAAACTGGTTAAAATTTATGCTGTTCTTCACTTTTATTATTTATTACAACCTTGCCAGAGTATATTGATTTTGTGCCAACCTCTGTTCTTGTCACAGTTTTTGTCATACAAATGAGGTTCCAGAAATGTAATGCCTATATTTTATGAAATATAGTCCTATGCCATTTCAGGATGACCTTTTCAGTATTCTGCATTCTGATGGGTTGGCTGTTTGTGAGGCAGGGGCTTATTTCCATCTACACCTTTTCCCCTCAACACTTATGTTTTAAAAGTAATTTAAACAGAAGTTGCTATACCAATTTCTTTTGTTTGTATTGGCATGCAGAGTTGACAATCTCCTTTCTGAAAAATTGGTGAACTCTGGACAGCTGGATTTTCACTGGACATGCCTCCCTGCAGTCTCTGTGTTGGAATGAAGTTTTAACTACAGCACTAGTTTTAGTACTAGGATGTGTTAAACCAATGGGACTGGTTTGCTTTTTCTTCCAGGCTATGCTAAATGTACATTTGAAACAGCATTATGAAGCACACTAATGAGGCAACAGTTTACCCAAAGGAATATCCCTCAGCTATAAGTGACTGACCAAGAAAGAGCAGAGGCCCCAAAACCAGACAGACAGACTTAAATACAGAGTCATCACAGTGTCACCCATAGAATGGTGGAGCATACACAAGATGCAGAGAAGAACATAGATATTTTACCCTACAGTGGCAGGGTGAGTTCTTTTAGTGTCTGCATCTGTAGGAAGAAGGGATATTATAAATACGTGTTTATAGTCATTCCTTATTGACTTTTCTGACAGTAGCATAAGAAAAAGGCACAAAACCCCCTTTCTCTAAAAAGTGTATTTGGCTGTCAGCTCTTACCCTTTTTTTTCAGCATGATAATAGTTCCTTGCAGGATTCACAAAGGCATCTGTTCCAGTTAATCACCCCTATCCCACAGATCACGGGAGTTGCTGACTCTTGATTTCTCTTATGACATCTTTAGCATGTGGTGTTTTCCCCAGTACACAATAATTTACTTTTGCAATGAATATTTTAGAACACACAACAAAGGGCTGTGAAATTATGTATCTGCACAAGACAATCCAGTGGGTAAGCTATTTAATCAGAATTCAGGAAGCTGAAAATTTTTGCTAGTCCCTGTTATGGCTCTGGTAGTCCTCTGAGCCTCTGCTGCCGTGGCAGCTCTTTGCCTCCATCTATTCTGACCAGCAGTTCCCAGAAGCAGGAGCTCAGAGGGGGCTGACAGCGAGCCAGACCCCAACACAGCAGTGCAAGTGTAGTGACAATGGCTCATCTGTGACAGATCACATAGTTCCTGTGTGCCCTGGAGACAATTTGTGAATGCACAGGAAATTCAGCCCATCCAGGACATCTTTGCCTTGCTGCACACGCTTTTGTCACCTGTGCAGCGTGTGCAGAACTCCTGACACATCCTGAGCACTTCAGATTCCCAATGCATATGTGCTTCTTGTGTGCATTTATTTCTGCCTGGAAAATGGTAGACTATTAAGGATGTGCAGTGGAAAAGCAATCCTACCAGATTTTTGTCAGCTGAAGCCTCTGCTGTGTGTACACAGGGTGGGCAACTTGGGCACAGTGGGGTTCTGCTTCAAAACCTAGGGACTCCTGAAAGCTTAAAAAGAAACATATTATCTGGGGGAAGGGGCAGGGAATAAAGAAGTAGAGTTTTTCCCATCGTGTTGAGAAGGAAAGCTGAGCAGAGCTATAATATAATAATAGTAATATAGTTGCTAATATAGAGCAGCTGTGGAGCTGCATCACCAGCCAGCAGTTACAAATCATCACAGCACTCCTCACTGCTCAGGTGGGTGCCCTTTGTGCAGCACCATGCCCTGCCACCACTGCCTTGTTTTTAACATCAGAACCCTGCTGCTTCTCCTGGGGAGGCTCTGCCTCTCATTAAGGCAAGCAGACACCCCCAGAGAAATATTCCAGGCACTGCAGAGCAGACCAGCCTGAGCTGATCTGCACTGCCTTGCTGGAGCTAGAAGTTTCTCTTGGTTGTGAATTCATCTCATTGCATCTTTTACAGGACAGGGTGTTACAGATCAGCCTGTTCATAATTTTCAGAAAAAAAAATGCCTTGGAGAACCTATTTTGGGTATAAAATAGCAGACAGAGCAGTCAAACCAATTAGGTATTTATATATCATGTATTGTCATACTGAAATTATTAAAAAGCTTAAACTGCACTGCAGTCAGGGAAAGGCCTTCCTAACCTGCCTGCACAGCTACTTAAAAGAATTAATTAAGTCAGAAAAAAAGCACTCTTCTCCAGCAAACAAGCAAACTTTTAAATATCATGTACTTTAGTCCCTTAATATGTAGTAAGACCTCTGAGCAGTTAGTTATCGTCACACATTTCAAAGCCATTACTGCAAAAAGTTCCAGGAAACATGAGCAAAAAAATGAAAATGTAAATACATACGAGGCAAAACCTTTCCTGCCGAGAACAAGAACCCAGAAAAGCTTATAGATCAAACAGTTTAAGGAAATATATTACAATTTTGGATTTGTAAGGTTTTCTTAGGAGGATTAAACACCTCCTTTAGAAAAAGTTCATCTTAAAAGCTGCTGCTTCTCATCTACATTGCCCTGGAGGTTTAGTAGAGGTCCAGACAGCACTGCAATTCAGACTTTGATTTAGCATTTCCAAATCAGTCTCATAAAATTCAGGCAAATCTAAATGAATATTTGGGAAAGACAAGTTTTGTTGAAAAATATTCTCGAGCTGCATAAACAACAACAGCCAAGCAGCAGGAGCAGGGTGTGGGATGTGGAAATGCTGTAAAAAATGCAAGATAATGTTAAAATGCAAAATACTCCCTTTGTGAGGAACAAAGCACAGCTATGCTGCCATCACCAACATGGGTACTACCTACAGGAAATATTTTCAAACCGAAAATGCCATGCTAAAACATTTCAGTGATGTAAACACATCAATGCTGATCTATCCCAGCTGAGCACCTGGCTCTTGAGCCCTCTTCAGATCTGCTGTTGTAGGCAAAATAACAGCCAGAGAGAGCTGGACATCACGCCAGGCACAAACAGATAGAAATTACAGTCAGTAAACTGCACAACACGCTGCAACTACAAGAGCCAATGGAATACTCACTCTTTCCCAGTGAGAAACCTGGAAAGGCATGGTCTGAGCTCAGCTGAAGCCCCAAGGGGTCCCAGGGCCACAGGAGTCCTGTTTCCCATGTAAGCTTGGGAAGTAGAAGCTGTGGCACCGTCCAGAGGGTGAGAGGAGCCAGGTCAGGCAGAGCTCACCCAAGCTGGGAGGTGGGTGTGTGAAACAAAGGATGCCACATAGCCAAGATTTCCAAACCCTGGCATGCAGTGAATTGGCTGATGGCACCCTGTCTGAGTTGTTTTCCCATGCCAAATTGCATTAAAAAGAGCTAAAATACATGAAACAGCTCCTAATATGAAGCTGCCTTAAAACAATGGCTGGAATTGTCCCAGAGATGTTGTGTGAATATGGGAATTGCTCCATGTGATCCTGATGAATCCACAAAACAATTTCCCTACTAAACTGTTCAAGCCAGCTGTGTGAAAGGCAAAACAGGCAATGCCTAAGCCAGTAAAACTACTCTGGAAAAGTGCAGTGTGCACTGCCCTGTCACCAGAGCTGGGTGGGCAGCAGCAGCTGGAGGACAGAGGCTCAATTTCTCTTGAGAATTTTTGGGAGTTGTAAACTAGTGCTAAAATTGTTGCTCTTCATATTGAGGACAGTTCCTGGATGGAAATAAGCAGATCAAAGTTGTGTCCCCAGGGCTATACCATTCATTTTTTCTGTTTTTATTTAAGTTAAAATAATCTAAGATGGGATTTTTCCCTCTAGGCTGTCATTTTTTTGTTTCTGGGAATTAAAGATGTTAAAATCTAACCTCAGCTCCCTATATTTAAAATGGCTAAATAAGTGCCATCTTTGTTTGGGGAAGGGGCAGTGAAATTGAGACATTTAAGATAGAACCAGAAGCTATATCAGTGGGGTTTCTGTGGGCAGCAGAGATCAAAAGCAAGATCTGCATGGTCTAAACACACCTATATGTTTTAGGAGATTAAAAAAAAAAAAAAACAAAAAAACCCATAAAAAATATCTACTGTTATATTCTCCAGGTCTAGACATTAAATACAAGAGAAGCAAAATGTGACCATTTACCTGAACACTTCTTCATAAAAACAGTTCTCCTCCCTCACTTCTTCCAGCTGAGCATTATCAAAGTGCTTTCCCTCTTCTATTTATGGCTAAAAATGTCGATTTTATTCTGTATTCAGAAAAAAATATGCAAACAAGAAATTCTAGTCAATACCTAAATATTTCTGTCATAATGGAGTCTTGTCAGAATTTTATATAAGCAAAATATGAAAATTTGAACCAGTGGCAGATCTAAAATAATAATAAATATTATTTAACATATATAATAAATATTCCTTTTTTTTTTTTTTTTTCTTTTTCTACACACTGGCAAGATTGTCCCTTTACTAGGCATCCCACTGGCCCAAATTCCAGACAGGGTATGTGAAGACAACATAGTTACTCACACCATAAATGTGTCTTTTTACATGTGGATAAAAATATTATTTTCCTGAATTCTGTCAGGAATTTCCAGCTAAGACAACAGAAATTCACTCAAGAGGGTGCCTTATGTTCCCCAGTCCTCCTCTGTGTTTATGGGCACACCTGCAATCAGAAGTGGCATAATAACCCCTTTATTTTGGTACTGAAAGTGATGGTGACAACTTCTACTGTTCAGCCTCTGATGGGCAAAAGAGACATACAGTAGATGACAAGAGAGATGCTAGGTTTAAAAAATTTCAAGGTATTCATAGCTCCCCAAATTATGGTTTGGGTTTTAAAACCTTAAAATGTTGAGTTCTAGTCATGGGAGCATGAAACTTCACAATTTTAAAGCTATTTCAGAAAAACATGGGAGAGCTGGTAAAGTAGTTAAAAAAAAAAAAAAAAAAAGAGAAGGAAAAGGATGGAAATGAAGCAAAAAAAATGTTTTACATGTTTCAAACAATAACCTGACCCCAGAGGCTGACATTTTAAGAGGAAAATGGGTGGCACAGAACAACTTATGGTAAAGCATGGAAGAACATAGAGACCATAAATCCAATCCAGAAAGAGCAGTATTTAAGTACTGATTATGGAACTGGATCATTGAGGGAAATCTGTATGAAAATAAAGAAATAAAGCTAAATAGCTCTTGTTTCTCCCAATCCTTTTGTTCTCCCAAGCAAAATGATTTCCAGAAGAAAAAGATTAACTATGATCATGTTCCCTCTATTTTGTAAGTGATTATCCTATAGGGATCAGTATCTTACTCTTCCTTGTATTTGTAAACTTTTTCCTTCTTCATGTGGATTTCAAATGAAGCACATTAGAATTGCTAATAACATTCCTTACTTAGCTGAGGAATATGTCAGGTCAATTCAGCAAAAGAACGAGTCCAAGAACAGCAGAGCTGGAACAGAAATAGATGTAATTATTCTGTTTTCAGTAAAAAGTATATTTGCAAATCCTGTGAAGAAATGAATATTCAAAACAAACACATTGTCAGGGAAATAAAACAAACAAAACCCAAAAATAAACCAAAGAAACCAACAAAAACCAAACCACCCTTATTAAGTGAATAAACAGACCCCTTTATCACTTTAAAACAAGAAATTTCATTTCTTTTATCAAGGAAAAGGGTGAGGAAATGGAAATATTGGCCTTTGACAAGTGAAAGGGAAATGTGATGACTAGTGACTCCAATGACTGACAAGAACTGTGTTTCATGGCACCTTATTCCACCAAATCCAGCTGAAAATATCAGTAAACATTCTGATGACTGTTCAGTAGGGGGTGTGGAATGACTTCAGGGACTTCTGTCGGAAAATTGCACCCACAAATTCACCTTAACAAAAATAAGCTCTAAATAATTTGGTTTAGAGTAAATATTTTTGTTCAATATGAGAAATTAATTGATGGCATATAATTTGGTCTACCATATACAGCTGGATAATTAACACACATTCATGGCCAGTGTGTGAAATTCTCCATCATTTTGCATTATAACTCTGCAGGAACCTGACATCTCTCCAATGGTAAGCATCATACTGCATCTAGCCTAGAACTTACACAGAGAGGAGAGGCACTATCTCATTTACCAGCTTCTCCTTCAGTTATCAGCAATAAACATGACACTCATCACAAAGGTAGATGTACTTGTTTTTATTCAGGGGGACAATACTCTATCCTTATACATGGCCCTGGAGCTATAAACTTCAGAGAGATACCAGGTCACATTCTATGGGTCTGAGTATACCTATAATATTCCTTGGCTGGAGCAAATGTGGCTCATTTTGTTCTGTCAGCCAGGTTGAGTTTGAGTAAAGGTGTAAAATATGACATCTAGAAAAAAAAAAAGGTTTTACCTATCTAAAGATCTTAGTCTTACAGTATAATTTTAATAAACCCTCTACATCATATAGATAGTTTTTGCTTGTATTCTAGCAAAGAAGAAACTAATGCCAGTGTCATAGTAATTTTCATTTATAAGCTGTACAAAGCCCAAGAGTACTGTGGTTCCTTCCACAAAGAAGAAAGTAAATTCTCAGGTAAATATGCACCAGCATATTGCACTTGGTGTGCAACAGATGCACAGATGATTCCTCACATGTTATGCCAAAGCTTCAGTCTAGAGGTGTAATCGACTCATGGCCCACCAGGGTCCAGTTCCTCACCTCATTATCCAGAAAAACAGACCCTAAGGCACAGGGAAAGGGATTTTTAGTCAAGTCTTTGCCAGATGGATCTAAGTTTAAATCACCTCTGATAGAGAGAAGATGCTTCTACTGTCTCTCCCCAAAAGGTTAGCTGAAAGCTGATGGACTTAGAATTCAGTTCTCTGAGCATATATCGAAATGGATATTCAAACTAAGTTTATCAAATGCAGAGAAAATTCATTTTACTTTGAAACTCTAAAAAGGATATTTCATTGTTCTCTGAATGTAAAGTGGTGTAAAGACTCGTTGGTAATTATCAAAAAGAAAATAGGAGCATCTTTGGTTGTTTCATTAACTATACCAACAAAGCTTGCTCAAATTTATTTTCACACAATTTCCATGACAAGGCTATGAAAAACAAGGTGCTTTTGTCATTAAACTGCAGTTTCATTATTCCTTTGTTCTGTTATTTCAGACATGCACTGAACATCAAGAGACAGTCTGAAGAGTATCTGGGATATCAAATTTAGTATGGCTTTGCTAGAAGAAAAAAAATCCTCGCCTTAATACCCAAACTTTACAATTCTCTCTGCAGCTCTGTACCTTGAAGCCTTATAAACAATTTAATTGGTATAAACTTGAGGCTTAGCTTAAATTGAAAAAATCCCTTTAAGGCATAGAAAAATTTTGAACAGTAAGAAGGGTACTTTTCTCCTGTCAGGGAGATGACAAGGTGGAGAGAGGGGTGAGAAGCCAGAAGTTTGGAGAGAAGGGCCAGAGATACTGTAAGGCTCCACAAGGATGAGACACTCGGGAATACTCAGGAATAGCAGTGAAAATTAGGCCAATCATCTCCTTTGTTTTCAGTGGTCCTAGTTAGACAGGATACACTGCTGAGATTTTGGGCTCTGGTTTAGTTTATGAGTTAAATTTAAGACTTAATTTTAAGTGCCAAAATATGACCTAGACTGAGGGCAAAGTTTCAGGGTTTAATAATTTGTAGTCTTTAAAATGAAAACCAGGAGCCTCTCTTGGATTTTATTTTATCTGAATGGGAAGAAGATCTTGCCTGTAACAGTAAATTGGACTCAACACCTATGCAACATTATTTTATGGATTACTGTACATTTATTTCAGTGAAGTCTGCATCTGCATTACATTAAAGTTGAAAAGAAAGGCACAGATGAAACTCAAATTCAGACCCAAGCAACAGTCGAGTCAGCTATGGAGCTGCTAACTTCATTTATATTGATTAAATTTGCATTCTGGAAATAATGAAACTACTTCTGCTGCATCTACCTTATCATGATCCTAAGCAAGGAAGGATTATTATGCAAAAGGAAACAGTAATACAAAAAAAAGCAGGTTCAGGGAAAGGAGATAAACAAAACAAAACAAAACAAAACAAAACAAAACAAAACAAAACAAAACAAAACACACAACCCAAGCACACAAAAAAACTCTTGCTCTTTTCCTCTCTGCCTCCCCAAAGCTACATAATTTACTCCCAGTCCATAAGGTCCTTAGTTCCAGTGATTGGGATGATGGATGGCTCTACTTCAGCTGCAGCAAGAGGAGATACAGCAATGCATCACTCTGCAGGAAAAAACAATAGAGCGAACAAAGCAGCAGGACAATGTGGTGGGCAGGAAAGCCAAGGGAATTCTCTGCTGCTGGGAAAACAGACAGCCCTGCACTGAGGAGTGTAAAACACGGTGTGGGGGGTTTGCACTCCCTGTGGCCATGCTTGTGGAAACCTGATTAAGAGGGGTGACCAACAACTGCAGGAGGGGAAGATCTTTTCTGCTCGAGTTCTGGTGTTTTTACAGGAGTAAAGGCTATAGTAGTTGTGCCATAACCTAATTTCTGCCAACATTTGTAATTTAAAATATTTGAAAGTGAGTTGGGTCAGTTCACGGTTAATCTCTGTGAAAGTTAGGTGACTCTGAAATTACCTGTTAAATTCTAGAGTAACTAATTAAAACATTTATGTTTTAATGTGTGTCAGTGTTCACACTCAAATCCAATAAATCAACAATTGCTGTGCTAAAGCTATCATACTTCCTAACATAAAACGCAGCAACAAATGTAGTAAAATAAAATGAATGCTACTATTAAATATTACACCTTTTTTGGCAAGGAGCAAGAACACAAATGTTGGCCTGAGGTAATTCTGAAGGCTTAGGTGAAATGCTTAAAACAACAAGACACATCCAAAATATATTCATTATTTATGTATGTTTTCAGCACATACTGCAGTAATAGAGAATTAATTACAGCTTGTAATTTAGATTATTCAGACAGAATATAAGGAGATAAATATAACCATAAACAAATAAATTTACATCATACACAACACAAAAATTCAAGGGCACTTTCTAATGCCTGGAGGGAGTAGAAAATACTGAAGCTCTTTGTTTGAATTAAATGATGCAATAGGACATTTTTACACTTTTTACAGGAAATCAAGTTTGTTATCCAGAGAAACTCATATGGAACTCTAATGATTTTTCATTACTAAGCATGTTAATACTGCTCACTGCTCAAGCTTTCTCTCATTTCCCTTGGTAAAAGCTATTGAGTAGCATGTAATTTTGCTGAACTTCAAACAATGAAATTGAGTTTTTCCCATTCTAGTTGAATTCTAGTAGAAAACACCTCTACCATTTCTACAGCAAAAATGGATAATATTTCACCCACCTGAAACACTTGGTGAACATTCTTTGAACAGCAATGATAGCTGCAGTTTTATGACAGCTGAAATGGGGTCTACTGATTACTGGATTTCTCTTTTTACTGGATTTCTCTTTTGCTTTTCTTCTGCAATTCAACAGCAATTTACACAAATGAAGAACTTTTTTAAATGCAAGTGTTACTTCAGTTAACTAAAATACCTTGAAAGCTGAGCCTTGCAGAGCAGAAACAAAGCACTCAGAGGACAACTCCTGTTCTGGGAATGCATCAACAACATCTGTAACCCCTTTGCAAGGGAGACACGGAATTTCATGTTCAGGGTGAGAGGAATGCCCTGCCCAGGATGTGCATGCTCTGCCTGCACAAGCCTCCCACTCCCTGTGTGCTCTAGGCAAGCAGCTGGCCAGGATCAGCTGGACATTTCTTCTTGGAGATGGAACTGATTGAGCAAAATGTTTGAGCCCTACAGTTGCAACTGAATCAATATTTTTATTACTTTAACATCTAAAATAGCATTAAGTACTCTCAAAACCCAGTTGTACATGTGAAGTTGAGCTCCGAAGTGAGTGCACATGTTAAACTTTTATCTCTGTGAGCCAGCTCCCAACATCCCTCAGTGACTGCACAGGCAAGATACATTCATTAATGCCTCTAAAACACTAAAACATTAGAATGGTGATAGGAGAAAAAAGTCCATCAGGAATTAATAATTTTTGCTTTGGAGCAGAGTTTTAATGGACTACAGTTAAGTAAAGACTATAACCTTGTATTGACCATGGAAGATGAAACAAAATATTGAATCAGTAAGGAGTGCAGTTAATTTTGTACACTGAATAAAGAAAGGGTCCTATGGACAGAATCTACATGTTCCTGTAATTACAGATTAGTATATTACTAAATACATGGCAGAGGGACCAAGTCACAATCTTGGCTTTTTTATTTCCTGCCTTCTGAATAGTGGATCTGACAAGATTTTTATGCTTTTGCATGTATTCAAGATAAATGTTCATATTCAAAATGAATATTCAGAATTCCAGAGAAATTAACGTTCTGCAGAATTGAAATTTGTCTTCCAGTAGGAACCTACTCATCTTGCATTTTTTAAACCTCCAAGTCAGAATATTTCCTTTTGTTGAATTGATCTGAAAAAGTGCTTTTAAATCTGATCATTAAGCCTCTTATTACGCTTTTCTTCTGGTGAACGAACACATTTTGAAAAAGTCACAACCCCTTCTGGTAAGTATGCAAATAGACGTTAGAACATTATTACTAAGGTTGTAAAATCAAGCAATCATAACAAAAAATGATGCCTCATCCCCTCCCTCTACCATCTATTTGCCACAGTCAAATCAGGATAATTGGGAATAAATTCTCTGCAATGGATTGGACTCCCTGTAAAATGACATCTCTTCAGGCAAAGACTGACCATGTTCTGACTGCCATGTGCAAACCAGGTGATGCCATTCCAATGTTTACATTTTAGTGCAAGGCAAGGCACTGGGAAGGGGCATAAAAATGACTGTCATGCTTTCTTTCCTTGCAGGAAAAGAAGGGTCAACTGAGGTCAGATATAATTCCACAGTTTTAAAACAAGATAAATAAAAGAACATGCATGAAATAATAAAATACTATATAAACTAAAACAACTGTAATAGAATAATAAAATGTAATCAAACAACCACCACAAAATCATGAATCTATTGGAGAAAGTAAAGAAGAAATCATTCATATTTTTAATATAAGACTGAGTGGGAAGCCAGTGAAAGAAAGTACTAGTCATGCTATAATTAGATGATGTTACTCATGGCAGTAGGATTTTTAAAATCTGCTTATAATATGAATGAGTAAAGAAGAAATGAGATAAAATGAAGGAAATCTTCATGAATATCTATGAAACACAGTGATGTAACTGTTCTTCTGGTTCATCAAATCACAGACTACAGTTTACTTGCAAATTACAGAATGACAAATTACAGAATTTTGAGACTATAATAAGAAAAAATTACCCCATGTTTTCCATTTCTTAAGATCTCAAATATCTCATAATTTGACCCTGTCAGAGGCCAGATACTGGGTTGGAAGCACCTTTAGTCTGCTCCTAACTGCTGTATTTATTATGTCATAATCCTGGAAAAATGTTTCAATTTTAATATGCTATCAGCTGAGCTGGCTCCTGAATGAGAAAAAGAATACATTCACTTGAATGCTATAACATTTTCCCTAACTGAGGAAAAATATCTGCTGCATCAACACCTTGGGTTGTTTAAAAAAAAAAAAAACACAACAATTATGCGACCAATAATCTCAATATGCAGTATTTCTGTTTCATACATGTAACATACATTTTTCTGCATAGGCAAAACAATCTCATTTTACTTTTGACATGAAAGGTCTAGCAGCTATGGGGTTGACTGAAACTTTTTGAATACAAGTCATGTCTACTTTACTACGTGATTGAAGGAGGTCAGCTTGGCTGAAGTATTCCACTTTCTTTTACTTTCTGACTTGTTTATGGGTTTTCACAAGATAGTTTTGATCAGATGTTATGGAACCAAGTGTGATCAGAGATGCCTCAGAGTCAGAAGTCCAGACTCCTGCTCTCTCCTGCTCCCCTTGCTGTCAGGCACCTGCTGTGTCTGAGGGCTGAACACAGACACCAAGCTGGCCAAGCCCTGGGGAAGAAATCCCTCAGGCTCCCTCTGTCTTAGCCTAACTTTTATTTGAATTCCACCAAAGAGTTAATTGTGATTTTAATTCCAACTACTCCTCTGCCAGAGAGCTCTGACATTGGGCAGCACTCTGCACACTCTCGAATCCCGCATCAGGATTGTGGGCACACAGAACTCCCACATCAGATGTGGGCACCTGACACAGCTCCAGAAGGGCAGGGAAGGAAAGAGCGAATCGAAGTCATGAGCAGGATTCTGAACCCAGCAGAAATTAAAGCCTCACACACTCCAACTGTTCTGTGCTGTCACTGTGGTTATTAACTTCATGATAACACTAGGTTTGTAAGCAAATTTGTAACCCAGCTGGAGAAAAAATTGGAACAGACTACATTTTTTTCTTCTCTCATTAAACACTTCAAATACAACTGAGAGGAATTTTAATATTTAAAAAAGAGAAATCCAAAAGCTATTTACTCCTGGACAGCTTATCCTAAAACCACCTCAGCTTGCTTTTGCTCCCATGCATCTCTAATAAGCAAATATATGTCTATAGTTAACTCTATTAATCGTTGCAATTTAGTGAATATGGAAATAACTTAAGCCTCTAAAGTGTTTCCCCTTAAAGCTTCTCTCCCCTACTCCACCCTGACCTTATTTTTCTTCTCACTGCAATATTATTAAGATAAGCAGAAGTGCTTTATTAATGTTCATCATAAAAATACAGGATTTCTCCTTTTCCAGAAGACATGCCACTACTAATTTGGCCGACAACCATCACCATGTGTCAGGCTATTCAACTCAAGAGAAGCCTACTGCAACTGTAGGTCATGTTGTTTTACTGTGTGTGGCTTTTGTTTCAGCTGCACCACAGAAATACTCCTTTGTTGCACCAGGAGCAGCCAGTTTTGTGAGCTGAGACAGGACAAGAAAGCAGGAAGCAGTTCAAGAAGGCATCTGTCCCCTGGCTTTGGAAAGATACTGGATGAAGGTACCAGTGAGACTAAAAGATTGAAGTAAGCAAGAAAGAAGAGGTCAGGGAGTAGGGGCTTCCTGGAATTAACAAAGTCCCTCAGCATCTTGAGGCAACATATACAGTAAAGGGGTGAAAAGATATAAATATATAACAATAGCAAAACTATTAATATAAGTATATTGCTAGTTTTTAACTGAACAGCTTTATTTCACTATGGAAAATATTTTATTTATGAAGAATAAAAGTATTTCCAGTAAAGCCTCTTGAGCTTACTAAGGATATTTTTGTTTATTTTGCTTCTTTCAACACAACAAGTGAGGGAAAAGAGGAAACATTCCCACTACCTTTACTAAGACCGAGATTATATTCAGAATAGTCCCTTAATTATCCTTACCTAGTATAGTCACTATTTAAAAATCCCACTCAATAGTTGAGAAAGAAATCTTTTTACAGTTACTAATTAAACACTAGTAGCAGATAAAGCTCATTGGAAGAGTGCAACACCATTTTCAACTGTATTTCCTCTTTGAATATCATACATATTTTCTCCAACATTTGTCTAGGCAGGTGGCCAGCAGGCGCTGTCAACATAATTTATGTCTCTTGATTATTTGAATAATTAAAGTAACAACAGCACTGGAACCCTGCAATTTTTGCACAACCCTAGCTTGCACAACAATTTCCCATTCCTTCTACTCTTGTTCTCTTCTCCCACAAAAGAAATCCTACGCATGAGAAGGAGGCTCCTAATGAATCAGTAAGATCCAAGAAAGATCTTTGTGAAAAGACCAAATTTCTGGGCTGTTTACCAACAAGGGAAGAAAACTCCAGTAGCAACTTGCAAGTCAGCCTCCTGCCCCATGGATCAAACCTCTCACACCCACCTTGGTCACCTTTTTGCAGGGAGCTCCAAGTGAAATAAATGGGCAAGGAGACCAGCTCCTTTTGAACGCCTTTATTAAAGTGACCAGCCCTGGGTGGGGACCTGAAGGGTCGCGCACACCGCTGCTGCTCCCTTTGGCGATGCAGAGGAGGAGGTGAACAGTTTTGCTTCACAACAGAACTGGGACTTCCATCCTCATGGGCGTGCCTAGGAAGATGTCTTTTGGCTCGTCGGCTGGGATCTTCACTCTGAATCTGTCCTACTTAGGTTATGGTGATGCTTAAAATCATGTTGGTAGGGTAGAGGGACTTCTTGCTGGTAGGTCTAGTTGGTTAGTTGTTCAAATTTTAGGTTGGCTCATTGTTTCTAGGGTCTTTTGTTGGATTTCCTTGCACTTTTCCTGATTTGATTATTTCCTGGGAATGTTCCGGTCGCCATTTTGTGGAGCAGCGGAGGCAATACGCGAGGGATGCGACAAGGGTTACAAATACTGTAAGGGGTACAGCTAAGGGGCATGTAAGGGGTTAACAGTGGGGGTAAACAAGGGTTTAACATTTAACAACTATTTAATTAACATAATTAACTGTAAGTGCATTAACTACTTTAACCAATGAACTTGTTCATAACACAAGGGCATCCAGCTTCACCAAGCCCTGCTGCTTGTGTGCTGCAGGCACCGTTTGGTGACTGCCTGTGACTGCATGGTATGTGTGAGCAGCTCCAGTTCTCCTGTTTCTGAAGGACAGAGGAGCTAATGCGAAAACCGTAACCTTGAATTTTTCCCAAGAAACAGAAACCAGTATCAAGGGGCTCTGAATCTCACTTCAACTCTCAGCCCATCGTGGCTTCTCTGCGGCTGCACCTGCTCATGGGAAGTGAAGCAGCAGCAGACAGTGATCTGGATTGATTCCTGTGACTTGCTAAATCTGAAGTATTCCACCAATTTTGGTCAAAAAGCTTGGTCAGGCTAAGAGGCCTAACATCACCGACCACAGGACAGCCAGAGTAACTCACAACAGGACTACACTCTTAACAGCTCTCTACATATTTTGTTGCTATCTTTCTTTTGTAAAGAACCCACATTTTCCCCAGTTTCGTGAGATTTTTTCTGAGATGCGTGTGGTATGCGGACGTTTCCCTGTGCTGCAGCAATGTGGTTGGCCTTGCAGTGCAACACAGCTGCATTTGATGGGTGTTTTTATAGCCCTCCTACACCTTTTCAAAACTGTCAGGTGGTTGTAAAAGATGAGAAGAAAAAGTGATCTCACTGAGAGCCTTTTTTTTAGATGTCTGTAAAATAATTAGGAGCCCCAAGTCCTGTACTCACAAGCCAGCGGCAAAGTCTGAAGAAACATAAATTATATAAATTGCTTTGCAGATGAGTACATTAGCTAAAAGAGGAGTGTTTCTTTTCCTGCTAGGCAGAATTATTTTGCACCAGTATGGGGCAACCAAACCTTTGCCACACTAATCCTCAATACTGGTGGGTGGCATTATAATCCTGGTATTATTGTTTATGTTCTCTGATGAGTAATGTCCAGGACTCCAAGCTTTAAAGTAGCAAATTCCTTTAGTTAGTAAAATATTTTAAATTGTTGTGTTCACAGACTTCCTTCTGGTATGTTTTTTCCTCCATACACATATCTTGATGTGAGTTTAAAAAAAACCCTAAAAACCAAAAAACAACTAACAGTAGATAGTAGTTAATGTGATACTTCTAACATGACCACTCATTCACTTCCTCTAATAAAGAAATAAAGGATGTGCAGAGCAGGGTTACAATTTATAAAGCATTGCCAGTCAGTGCCTCAATTTCAAGAGTCAGAATATTCTGCCTGTGTTACCTGCTGATTTATCACATGACTGAATATTTTTCTCTTTTTAAAAGGCAATATTTTGAGACCATACATCTATTTCTTCGGGGAAGTCCAGAGCAAAATCAGATGTCAGACATATAGAAATGAGATGCTAAACTATGGTAAGCATATCTGACAGTTCAAAATACATTATTTCTTTGCTGTCTGTCTCAGTGAATTTCTGAAAGAGAAAACAGCATTACGTCCTTTATTGCAAATTGTATTATGAGACAGAATATTTTGTTTCTATAGCCCTGGTAATCTTCTTCTATTTCTACTACTAGAGAAATTGGTTTTAGTCTAGGAAATTTCTTGATTTGAATTTTACTTCTTTCAACATATCAGCCCAGCAACAAAAAGCTTTTATTTTGATAGGCTTCTGTTTCTTGGAAGCCTATGTTTGCTGTCATGCTGAAAACCCTGACACCACGTCTCTAAGTTTACAGTCTTGGTGCTAAACTGACCTTTGGTGTAAGAAAATGTATTTATTAAACTTCTCAACTAGATTTTTCTTCTGAAAAAAAGACACAAAAAAAAACCCCCAAAACAAAACAAAACACCAAACAAAACAACAACCCACCAAACAAAAAAATGAATGTACTGAAAAGCACGCTGTTCAGACAATTGGCATGACATTTCTGCAAGTATTTCTGGTTTTGGTGTTCTGCTTATTTTCTTATTCATCTTCTTATTCTTCTGCTTTATTTTTTCTTAGGTTTTTGTATTCCTCTTATCACTCTAAAAAAACTATCCTTTTCAAAGTACTGTTCATTATCAACTGTTACTTTGAAAAGATTTCAAGCCCACTTATTTCCTTACAGCACTGCTACAATTCACAGTTGTTTACATACATATGAATGGTCATGCTCATATTTATTGATAAATATATCAATTCCTAGAAGGAAAAAGTCTCCAATTTCAGTATAAATACACTTAAAAATGTACAAGAGGAATTTAAAAATACATATGATTACAAAAATACCCCCTTTAAAATAAATTTTAAAGGAAATAATTTCCTTTAAAACTGAGGTTCTGCTATGACATTCTATTTGATTCAAATAAGGAATTTATCTCAAATACGAGCTATTCTCTGATTTTGTTAGAGGCAGGCCAAGCACCCTATGTGAGTTCGGGACCCCGTGTGGTGATTTCCTCTTAGCAAGCAGCAATTACAAGGATTAGGGGCTGAGGCTCAGCTCAGTGGAGATGAGAGGTATTTAGCCATTTCCCTGGCATTGCTTTGGGGCACACAGACAGGTTCCCATGGGCCCTGAGCAGTGAAGTCTCTTCCACCAGCAGGCACCAGGGCAGGTCCCTTTTGCTGCTGCTGCAGCTCCAAATGTCACATACCACAGGTGATGCTCATTACCGGAGCTACGGGGACATAAAGGAGAGCACGGATTATTGCTGATGGTGGAGTGCCAAAGGTTAGTGAAAAGCTGGATTGTCTGCTGGACCCGGGTAGATAAGAACACAAAAGGGCACAGAAATGGATTTGAATACAGCCACTTATCAGTGTGCCTTTTAAAATACATTATGCTCCATATAATGGTGTGCTGTTAGCACTAAAATTGGGAGTCTCCTTTTATGAGTGTACTAATTTATTAAAATCAATTTGTGTCACCATTTTAGCATCTCCTCTACTTCCCTGAGCCAAGGAGTAAGACACCAAGTCAGCTAAATTCAGACAAAATTCAAGTGGCTCTCGTTCTTTTCAAACAACTATTGCTTTCTGCTGATGTAGCTCTCTGTTGGCTGCTCTATTGTTTTCTCCACAATAAAAGCAAAGAAGCACACATAAAACAAAGATGTTTATGATTTGGAATAAATTTTAGCTTTACTATTTTTTATTACTGGAAACCATCCAATTATTATGCAAAAGAATAAAAAAAAAAAGGATCATTTATATACCATCCTGTTAAATTTTATATTGAGTGATATGATAAAATAGCCAACTGGGACAATGGGTGGGGAATGGGAGGAATGCCAGATTTTATTTATGTCATGTTTATGGTTAGCTATGTTTATCCTTTTTTGTCAGTTAAAGGAACATTAAATAGAATTATCTTGGATTTATGATAAGTAATAAAGCAGGCTTTTTTTTTTTTTCCATGAATGCTCAATTAGATTAAAGTATACAGTCACAAGAGCAAATATGCACCTATTTATGATTCCTTTCCTGAGGCCATCCTCATGTTCCTCTCCTGAGACTGCAAGAAGCTGGAAGACTTTGGACAAAACAGTGCATGTGTTTACCTCAGCACATATGTAAGCATAATGTAAGACTGGTAGGACAGAAACATGGAGTTCAGAAACAAGGATACAAAAAAAATGTTAGCACCATACT